AGGCCTTGCTCTATTGTTTTACTCCCAATTTCTTTCTCTCTGCGTCTCCCTCCCGCCCCCGCAGCGCGCAGAGCAAAAGCCCCGGCGCTCTTCTGGAAACACCTTTTCTCTCCCCCTTAAAAAAGCCAAGTCCCAGGCCGGGGCCTACTGCGCTTGAAACCACCTTAACAGAGCTCCTCCTTCTCTGGAGGCTGGGGGTGAATCTGGCAGGACTAGGCAGTGGTGTTACCATGACGAACATTTTCTTAAGCTTCCACGGCTCAGTGCAGAAGGGACTCAACTCGCGGAGGGTTAAACAGACGGGGGGGAAAAAAAGAAAGCGAGGCGTGCTGTCTGAGGGACCGTCTGTTTCCTTAGAGTAGACGCCGCAGAGTTTTAAGATCCCCGACTCGAGCCCTTTATAGGACGAGCAAGTCATTTTGCCCCTTCTCCGGCTCGTGGCTTGTTCTAAACTTCAGGAGGAGGTCGGCAGAATCGGAAATCGAGTAGCTCTCCAAGGTTTCCCCTCCCCTTCCGTCCTCCCCTTATGGAAATCCAGAGGGGTTTCCCAGACTGTGGAAGCCTGGATTACTGGAGGTGGAGGGAAATCAGTGGCACTCGTCGCTGCCCGTGAGTCGCCGCGATCGCGCAAAAGCCGTTGCTCCGGTCGCTTGCTCGCTGCACGCTGTTCCCGAGGCCGTCAACTTGGAGCTGCGGCTGGGTGGATTGTCTGCTTGTCTAGAAAGAGCCCCTTCCTGTCTGCTCGTCTCCCACTCCAGGGGCAACCGCAAACCAGGTATTTTGCTCTTTCCTAGGAGCTGGTTGGGATTCGGCTGCTTTGCCTTCCGATCGAGGAAATAAGCAGCAGGGCACAGGAAAGTGTTGCAAGCGTTATCACCCACGCCTGCTTCTAGTGCTCGTTGGTAGAAAGCAAACTTGGGGGAGGGGGGACGGGAGAAAAGCGAAAGACAGAGTTGGGTGGAGTAGACGGGAATTTAATTGAAACTGCTGTTTGCCGGGGAATCGAAGGGCGACTGGAGGATTTTTCTCCAAAATATCCTCAGCCCGATTTTTTTTTTTTAACTTCCGTGGGGGTGGGGGAGGAGGACAAGGCTAGAGTTTTGCGGCTATAATTAGCTGTGGAAAATTCAGGGTATTCCCTGCGTTTACAGAAACGTAAAACAGAACAATCGAAAACGTGTGCAGGGATAAGGAATGCAAAACTATTGAAAAATATATTCGGACTTTCGTGAGTGTCTGAAGTTCGATCTGTTTTGAGTAGGGTTTCATAGAATATGAAATGGTTGATGGTACTTACTCATGAATTTTAAAAAATCAAGAGGGAAGCAGACATTAACGAGCTTGTTTTCTACTGTTGATTTCCCTTTTCCCCACCCTGGTCGTGTTGAAACGTAACTTTTAAAAAACGTTCTTGCTGCTGATCCTCGTTGCATGCTGAACCACCGGACGGGGGAATGGTCGCCCCTGATAGGTTTATCTGCCTGAGTCGCCTTGACAAGTCTACACCCTCAATATTACAACACTTCTCTGTTAGCAAAGGTGGTTGGGGAGGGGAAAGGCGGCGGAGAATTCCTGACGCGAAGAAACGATCTAGCTGGTGTGCGGATGAAATCGTTAAACGGGACGGGGCTGTCGAAAGGAGGAGGAACGGAATCTGCCAGCGCAGTTTAGTCGCAAAATACGCGGAGCTGGACTGCCGGAGCTGCGAGGACAGTTCCTCGTCCAAGGGAAGACCCCGTTCCGTTTTTGAGCCTCGGGGTTGTGTTTAGCTCGAATGACGAAAAGCAAGCCAAGTGGAAAGGCTGTGCAGCTCCAGCGTATTTGGTGCGCTGCGTACAGCCTCCTGGGCTTTAGCACAGTAACCTGATTATTTACCGGTGGGGAGCACAGGACTGGGTCTGTGTGCCAAAGACCGTTTAGACCTTCAGTTGGGCAGGAGAAGGCTCGATCCTTCCACCCGCCCTCTTCGGCGGCGGGCAGGGTCTCCTGTTCCGCGCTGACAAATGGACTGCTGACTGCCAGACGGACAGATGCAGAAGGCGGGTGGAGGGAATGGGGGGGAAGCGGAGAAATGCCAGCTAATCAGTCGCCTCCAAGGGGCGCGGCGAGACGGAGAGCCGACCCCTCCCTTTTCGCCGTACGGGTGCTAGCCGTGGTCAGCAGCCCCAACAAGGGGGATTTGGGAGCCTGTGTTATAAAACGGGCGTGTGGAGCAGGAGTGTTGGTTGCCTAAAAAAAAATTGGGAATGATAAAATATGCATATGCTAATTTCTGCCTGCAAATTTTAAGTAATGGCTAGGATTTTTTTAAACTGCTTGCAAGGCAGAGGCATCCAATTACCTTTTTGAATGATCCCCACTAAAGCCAATTGCTCAATTAATCAGCTCCCCATCCCCATATCTTCCCAAAGAAGATTCCTCTTCTGTTTATAATTAGTTTACTATGGCTTTGAGCAGGTGTGAAAAGAAGGGGGAAAATAGTGGCTGGAAGGCTTTTTTGATGAGCCATTTCTCCTCTCTTTCTCTACTTAGGTTTTACATCAAAAATGGAATTTCAAAAATTTGGCAGAGCACTAATCCAGAAGCAAGCCAATAGCAAATTAGAAACCATCTCCAATTCCCACTCAGTCCTCCTTCAGATTCCTCTTTGACTGGAGATCCCATCCACTTATCATTGATTAACATTAATATGTTGAACTCAGAATAAAAGGATAGGTTCAAAATAATGAGTGAGTGGTGGAAAAAGAAGTAAAGTCTGGAAAATTTGGAAAGAAAGAGTGAAGCCAGGGAAACCAGAAGCTAGGAAAGGGCAGAAAGTTTTGAACTGGAGATCAAAGGGTAGGGGGTAGGGTAGAACAAGAACTAGACAGCCTACCGGAGACTAAAGGAGCTTGCCAAGAGATGGGGGCATGTGTAGCGTTTTCCTTACCAAACACAGGGCACATGCTGAAGAAGCCACCAGGTGCTATTGTGGAAGCATACTGTAATGCACTATCTGGGGTCATAGTATATCTCAAGCACATAGTTCTCTCCCCACTTCTCTGCCCTCTCCCCCAAATACAGGGAATCCGTTTAGGAAAACAACTTGCATTGGCACCAGTGAACTCTCAATTCCAGATACTGCTCTTGCTTCTGCTTGTGAGCCCAGGCCCAGCAGCACCTCTTTCTGCTCCCATTCCAGGAATTAGATTGGCAAAAGAAGGACAGTTTTTCTGCTGGAAGGCAGAAAGAGACGGTTCTCAGAAGGGCCAATCCTATTCAAAAAAAGGGATGCAGCAGGCAGGCCCAAGATGGAAGCAAGCTGGAGCTATGCCTGCATAAATGTGAACAGGTGAAGAAGAAAAGTGAGAGAAAGGCCATGCTTGTGTAACTTGTTCTGCTACTAATAAGCATCCATAATTTGAAGGGACTATCTCTTCCACACCCCATCCTGCCCTGAACCATTCTTTTGTTTACACATTGCTCCACTTTACTGAGGTACATACATTTGTATTTCTTCGACATAAACCTTGTACAAATTACAAATTCTCGCTGTAGAATAAGGGTGGGAAGAAAGCAGTGACACAGTATTCTGGTACTTTTTAACTACTCAGATCAGATTTAAGAAGTAAACTGTTCTTTGTTAAGCAATCTTGAATGCCTGCCTAAAATTCAAGGAGAATATGGTAGATTGAGACAATAAAGAGTAAGAAACACATATAATAAGGTTTGTAACATAAGCTGGGGATTTTTATTTTCTTATTTCCAATTGTTACATACAATAGTACAGTCTTGTATCATGAACTGATGAGGTTTGATTTCATCACTAGAAAAGCAGCATTTGGGGGGGAAGTGGAGAAGGGCCTTGAAGGACATACTAGTGACTAGAGAAACAATTCTCTGCATATTAAATGGACCTTCTTATATGCCTGGAGTGCAGCCTATAAAACGTAATGAGGCTTATTTTTCACATTGGGTGGGGGATGTTGTTTCTAGGAGATACTTTCCGCCCTATGCAGTTACCTCCTACTTCCTCCTCCCTGCCTCCACCCTCCCTGCAGCTGACCCCAGGAACTCCTTTGGGTAGCTGTGCAGAATCTCTGCAGTCTATCACAGCTGATAACAGGGGCTGCCAAATGGCTTGAAAGCAGATGGGACTACCCGAGTTCCTGCCTTCCCCCACTAGCACCAAGATAATCTTGCCTGGCTTCCTGCCAGCCCCCTGAGGGTAAAGCAGAATCTCATTTGGGGGAAGCACCCATCTGTTAGTGAATCACTGCTGGGGAATGGACTGGGTTGGTGGAATTGCTTCCTTCCCTCCCACTTGCTTTGGGGGTCTTCCTGCTCCTGCAGTCCTGGCATTTGTAGCCCCTCCTCTCTCGCTGCTATATGTTTGCTCAGTGTCCATAGAGCTGTGCTGAGTCTGCTGCATTTCAGTTGTGCGTGCCTTCAGTGAAGTTCAGGAAGAAAAGAGTTCTAATGCTCTGACAGGTTGAATTTATTCAGAATCATCAGTGAAAAACATCAAAAATGTTTCTCCCTCTAAGAAGCTGGAAGGGGAATTTGTGGGAGTCTCCTGGCTTCTCTGGATGTAACTATAGTCTGTTAACTGCTGCTTCAAATGGTGCAGCCCAGCCCTATCTACCACCATTCCTTGTGCAGGAAAGGGGAAAGCCAGGAATTAGTTGTGTGTCTGTGTGTTCTTTTCTAAAAACAACCCTAAAGATAAAAGGAGCTGCTTTTGTTTCAGACTCAAGGTCAGCCCTCAGTGATTTATACATTGAAGTTTAAGAGGTTGAATGAAAGACTTTATATATCTGGAGTTTGGTAGCATGAAGTTACAGCTGCAGTAGGTCTTTGGCAGAGTCGGCACAAGACAGAATTGGGACATGGAGGCTGTAAGAAGTCACAGCTGAAGAGTCTGCAAAAGGGTAGGACATATCACCGTGAAGGTGCAGTGACAGGGCTGGCCAAAAAGGAACTGACTAGCTATGGATGTTGGACGAGCAAGCTGTAGTGGGTTGGCAGCATTAGAAGTTAACAGGTTCTAGGAGTGTGAGTCTTCTGTAATGTTGATTTTCTTCTCAGTGGGATTTTTAGCATGTTTCCTAGTTTGTATCATATCAACCTGCCAGTTTGTAAAAGCTCACCACACCTCAGTAGTCACCAGCATGACTCATCTTAGCCTCAGTCATCCACATACTTGAGTCTAGGGAAAAATGTTACAATCTTATGAATGCCTAGGATCTGAGGATTTTGAGCATATCTAGATTTTGTTTCTTAACGTTATGCAGTGCTATATTGGGGGGTGGGGGTTTAATACTGAGGCATGAAGTAGCATCCAGGTTTTAAGTTTTGTACATTGAGTTTAATATATAGCTCTACAAAGCTGCATCTGAGGTGGCTCAGAACTCCTAAGTCATTGGCAGATCCCTGAATATAAAACTGCTTTCAGCACTGTGGAGTTGTAGCAAGCTCACGCTTAAAACTTTACTTATAGTACTGACTTTGGTCAATTCTTGTCTCTTTTATACCTGTGTATAGAAATTCACCCACACAGCTTGGAGTTCAAACCCAGATGCCCACTCTTTCTTTGTGGAAAGATTGCTCTTCTATTAGAAGAACTCTGGAAATTGTGTAGATCACAAATTCTTTGCTAATTGTCCTTGTGCAAAATCTGATTTAAATCAATGAAGCTATCATATATGTAATCATGTGGAATATATTCCTTTTGGTCTGGTCTCTGACTCAACTGTGTATGATAGGGGTATTATGTGAGAGAGGGGGTATTATGTG